CCGGCAGCTGATATGTTCAAGGAAAGGATTAAAGCTAATGGAAAAAATTCCAGAACATGTATTAAAAGTCATCGAAGAAGAGCTTCAGAAACTGGACATGTCAAGTGACTACCTTGATTGGTTGACCTTGTTGCCTTGGGGAAAATTCAGGTTTGCTATTTGCTTCATGCTCATGTCTTGAAGAGAATGACATTAACATCATTTGTACTAATAAACATATTAATTTGGTTTGCAGTGTTGAAAATTTTGATATCCTTCTCTTGACGAAGATCATTACGGTTTATCTGATGTAAAAGAAAGAATACTAGAGTTTATTGCTGTAGGAAAACTAAGAGGCACTTCAAAAGGTTGTATCTTTGCCTTTTCTGATTCACTCTTCTTTGCTAAAAACTGAACGTTTGTAAAATTTTTTGTGTCAACAGGGAATATCATTTGTCTCTCTGGCCCTCCTGGAGTACGAAAAACTAGCATTGCGCGTTCTATTGCACGCGCTCTTGACCGAAAGTTCTTTCGGTTCTCTGTTGTAGGACTATCTGATGTTGACTAGATTAAGGTATACTACTACATGATAAAACTCTAATTCTAAACTTCGTTTAAAAACTACTAAATCAAAATTTTATAAAGAATAATCTATTTCTTATACATTCTCTAGGGAATTCGTCGTTCATATGCTGATGCCATGCCTGGAAAGATGGTGCAATGTCTAAAGAGTGTTGGAACAGAAAATCCTCTTATTCTGATCGATGAGATTGATAAGGTAGCTTGTTAGTATTGAAATTGGCTTTCGTGGAGTTTGTATTCAAAATCTTTTATTAGCTTCTTTTCTTTGTAACATCTTGAAAATTCTTATCAATAATTGTCTATTTTTCCTTGGCAGATTGGAGAGGGCCGATCTGGCAACCCGGCTAGTGCGTTGTTGGAGGTTCTGGATCCTGAGCAGAATGCAAATTTTCTAGATCTCATCTCGATGTTACTATAGACTTATCAAAGGTTTTTTCTATTCTTTACATTCTTCATATTATGCAATTTCTTTCTAATGTGATCCATTTATCTTATCCGTGTATTAATTTTATGGCAGATTTTATTTGTATGCACAGCTAATGAAATAGATAAGATTTCGAGACCTCTGCTAGACAGAATGGAGATGATTACTCTTGGAGGCTATGTTACCGATGAGAAAATGAATATTGCTAGAAACTATTTGGTGAACACCACATGCAGAGATTATGCCATTAAGCGTGAACAGGTCTCACTGCAACTATTAGTCCTCAGTCAATTTATTGTTTTTTGCCTGAGAGATTTTCTCAAGTTGTTTCTACTCTTTATTAGGCTGTTGTGACCGATGCAGCTCTTCTTTCGCTAATAGAAAACTACTATAGAGAAGGAGGAGTTAGAAATCTCAAAAAGCATATTGAGAAGATTTATCGTAAGGTAATACCATAATTTATATGT